CCCCCCCCCCCCCCAATAATATATTTCTACATAGTCGCACGGATTCTACTTAATCGGGCAATTCCACTTAAAAATTGGCAAGATTCTGTTTAAAAATCTGTCAATTCTGTTTGCCATTCAGGCAAATTAATCAAGGGATATCTAACGTTGGGGAATGTTATGGCGAACTTGTATTTATCGGGCAATTGTTCATCAATGTTGGGCAATTTATTGTCCGACCCCTAATTTTTTCAGTTCCGTTATCCGCCTATGGTAAGAAGTGGTAGTTGCGACGAAGCCGTTTTGCTCTAATTAACATCAGTGAATGCATGTGTAGAATTCACGCTCACTGGGGACGTGCCGACAAAATAATATACCTGAAAAACCCGATAAAGTATATAAAATGTACCATATGAAAATCAAACTGCATGATGATGATTTGAAATAAAACATCACACAAACTATTAAAGAACGGTCGATCCTGTGCTTTTCTGTTTGCAAATGTATAATTATTATACTGTTCAGTTTACTCGCTCAGCTTTCTTAGCGGCGGAAGCGCGTCGATCAAATCTAATCGACTGCATGTTTGAGTCAATAACATTGATTTTACGAAGCGTACTAGTTGGAAAATGTAGGGCTGCAGTAGGCAATCCTAAAGCCTCGAGAATTGTTGATGTTTGCACAGAGCACAAGGTCTGTTTCAAACATCGCGCTTCTCACAGTGCCGAACGCATTAAAAACATTTAGATAATCAGCTGAAATTATTATTATTATTATTGGTCTTTATTAATCATTTGATAAAAATACATATCAAATTTACATATTTAAAAAAAAATTGTAACACAGAAGCTACTTAATACATCAATAATACTAAAACTATTCTATTCATTATCAACATGCAAATTATACTTAAAAATCAGTCTATTAAAAAAGCTATTCTTGAAGCGTTCTGTGTTACATTTTGGCCACAGTGAGCTTTTGTTACGCAGACGCCGGATGAATCTTTGACTATAGGTAGCATATGTTTAAGCGGATGATTATCGTTATTTTTTATCTTTCTCCAAATGTTACGATCACTTCTCTCTAATAGTTTGTATATATCGTAATGTTTGCAATTGCTAGAATAATTACGTTTAAAACATCTAGTTAAGAAGCACTGCACTGTATATAAATCTGGGGTAGACGAACCATAGACAGATAGACCATTCGATATCTTTGAGATTACAAGAGAGTTGAAAAGCAAATTCAACTCCCGTTGACAAAGTCCTTCCTTTCGTAACGATCGTATCACGTATAAACTTTTATTTGCACTATATAACATATTCTTTACATGTTCTGTAAATTTGCAATTGGACTGGAATGTTACTCCCAGTAGTTTCAATTTGGGAAATGCCTTATTATCTATTGTTTCTAATGCGTTCAGCATATGAGAAACGCCGAACGCGACGTTTGAAACAGACCTAAGATGTGGTTTTAAGTTTGCTCAACTGAGCATAACACATGTTGAGGACAATCGACTTATAATCCAACTGGCACTCTGAATAAAACCGGTTACAGACGAGCAAGTTTTCTATATTTTTTTTTTTGCTTGACAAGTTCTATTTGCTCGTCTGTACGCGCAACTTTGAAATTTTTTTCTGTGACAAGCGCACTTGTTCAAAAGCTAGCATGCTAGCTTTTGAACAAGTGCACTTGTCATAGAAAAATTTGTCAAAGTTGCGCGTACAGACGAGCAAATAAAACTTGTTACATAAAAACTTGTCACAGAAAACTTGCTCGTCTGAAGCAGTTCGTTTCGCCATTCCTGTAAATGTTGACCGCTCTTCTTTGGAAATTATACGCAATGCAGGATGCCATGCAAAGCATTTAAATTAGGACTGTGACGCAAGTTAGAATTGGATTTTTTCCTTCTGTGTGGAATCTTTACTTTTTACCTGCATGCAAAACTCTTTTGATGGCCCACACATTTGTCAATCAACAGATTAATAAGTACCTACATGTTTCCTGCCCAAATGATTATATCTGAATAAGAATGCAGATAAAGGCCCTATTTGTGAACGAGTGGGTGAGACTTATGAATGTCCAGATGAGGGTACATATTATAAGAACTTTCGTAACCAATCCGCTCGTTCCATCAGAAGAGGAAAACTGCAGCAAAAATTGCAAATGTAGACGGGAGTTAAAGTATAATCATTATTAATATTCCTACCACTGCAGTTTCTGTTCACAACTTTCTTTAGTAATATTACTGGATCCTGAGCATGTTGGTACAAACGTTTTGCATTTAATCCTCTTGTATTCTGTCAAGCATGTGCCGTTTGGAATATTTGCGATTGGTGCAGCTGCTCGAAATTTATCGCTTTCCACGCTCGCTTTTCTCAGAAATTCTGTTATGTTTTCTGCTGCAATCTAAATGAAATAGAAAATTATTAGAACATCTGATAAGAGAAATTTGATTGAACTCAACATGATTTGGATAGGCCAATATTAAGCAAATATATAGAAGTTTAAAGCATATAGTTACGGGAACCACTGAGTATTTTTATAAAATACAAAAGAACAGTAACTCCAAATAACATTTTGTAGCTTTAATGAATCTACGTTTCGACTATATTTTAGTCATCATCAGGACAGATTCAGATCTGTCCTGATGATGACTAAAATATAGTTGAAACGTAGATTCATTAAAGCTACAAAATGTTATTTGGAGTTACTGTTCTTTTGTATTTTTTAAAGCATATATAATTTCATTATTGAAAAATGGCCTTTGAGCATTCTGATTGGCTCCCTCAGCAGTAACTATGTCTGTGAGGCAATAGTTGCTGCTCAGAACTGCTCTGAGCAGCAACTATTGCTTTTACCAAAAAATGGCTGAAAATCAGAAGTAAAGTATTTATGCAAATTATATTCATCAAATTATATTCTAAATAACGTTATTAAAGATGAACAATAAAGTACGTAATGTTGGAATGTCCCGCAACAACAAGACCTTTGGTAGGATAATTTCTAATAACATATTCAATAATTTCATCCTTTTCACTTTCTTTCAACCTTCATTTTTGTATTGTGTGATTCATAATAACTTAGTAATAATTTGTTTTCTCTGGTTTCACATAATATGTTCAGTGCTCCTAAACTCTCCTGCATTCTAGTTTCACTCTACAAACTCTATCTACACTCTTAAAAATAGGTGTGTTGCAAAACACACAAAAATGTGTTATATAGCACGTTAAGTGTGTTATACAACACATTTTACTCTTGCGATTTCGACATAACACACCTTTGTGAGTTAAATAACACACACATGTGCGTTATATAACACACAGTGTACAGTACTTAACACACAGCGATGGAGGTGAATGTGTTAGATAACACACTTTCAGAAAAACACACCTTTTCTACCGTGTTAGTTAGCACACCCTTCCTATGAAACGTGTGTTAATTAACCCAAGTTTAAAGATAAACACACTTTAATAGAAAAACACACTGCACAGAATAAACACACTTAACCAACAAACACACCTTTCCAAAACACACATCTTAAACTAACACACTTTTATAAAACACGCTTTATAGTAGCAAGCCTAATCGCAGGCTAAGGGCTCGCCCGATTACAGGTATCGGCAAATATTTAGCCGATTTATAAATTAATTCGAGTATTTAAAGCTCATGTCAAGTCCGTATAAATGTAAACAAATACTTTGTTTACTTTTTGAACTGCTATATTATATTTGTAAAATAAGACTCAATTACACTTTTCTGGTTCGCAATTGTAAATGAATATAAACTAGAGAGGCTAGACATTTTAATTCAAAAAAGTTCCAAAGTCAAGATGCAAAAATTGGGCAATTTTTATATCTGTCATCTGGGGAGTGTGAAACAATCAAATATTATTTACAGGCTGATTAACCATTTCACAAAGGAAACTCATTTGAATTCACAAGTGTTCACTGGACATAATAACAGAAATAGTCATGTCACATGTGTCATGTGTGTTGTTATGCATTTCATGCAGATTGGAAACTGAAAGTTAAAAGTATGCGAGCAGCACAAGCAATCAAAATTGGACGTCAAAATATTGCACTTCAAATATTATAACATAACACAGTAACACACCATGAAGCCGAAATATTTGAATATTCGCGCGCCGCATGATCGAGCTTTCGAGTTTTCAACCAATGAGGAGAGTGCCGCTGTGAAATCTAATACCTTCTTCTTGCAATCGACATTATAGTTGCATTGGCAGATTGCATTTATTATCCGCACAGGGGGGGTTGAGGACACTGGAAAATCCAGGGAGGGGGTCGATAAAATCGCTTGGAAATCCAGGGGAGGGGTCGATAAAATCGCTTGGAAATCCAGGGAGGGGGTCGATAAAATCGCTTGGAAATCCAGGGGGGGTTCGATAAAATCGCTTGGAAATCCAGGG